GAATTTCTAAGCTTAGCAGATTGTTGATAATAAATGATTGCCTTATGTTTTCTTCTTTCAACAGCATCATTCATTCTATCAGTATCACTAATTTTGTCAATTTCATATACAATTTGAAGACTTTTTGTCTATTTTTAGTAGATCTTTGTTGCCAAACATATTTTTTATGCTTATTCATTTCAATCCCTATTCCATTTTGATGGTGCTCTTTAACACTACAATGCTCAGAAAGGCTTTTCACTTTTACTAGTTCTTGAAGATATTTAAATATATTATATTCATTCTTTTTACTCTTAATTCCTTTTTTATTTTTATTTTGATAATATTGCCTAACATATATGCCATTAATACTGATATGATGTGGATCCAACTCAACAATCAGTATTAGCTTAATATATAGAGGTAAGTGAATTATCGATGGTACTTAGCTGTTTTTTTGTAATTTATGAAGTTTTTTAAGATTTTTAACATTAGTTCTAAAGCCTGCAGAAGCCATATATCATCAATATAATCATTTTCGAGAGCTTTATTTATGAGTTTTTAAACTTTAATATATTGCTTATCAGTAAGGGTCTCAAATATGGCAAGATATTTTCATTCTAATATTTTTACTTTTAGATATTTACTACTTGTATGTTTTATTATATTATAATAAGTGCACCAGGACTTTCCTTGAAAGATTTTTTTGGAACAGATTATAGTTTTGTGATTTTTGCTATGATTTGGACTCCTTTGCTCGATACTGTACATTTTTCTTCAAATGTTAGCATGGCCTAGGTTGATTCATAATAGATATCCAATTCTGTTGGGTTAGAGTAATTCGATCTTAACTAGGATCAATCAGTCTATTCAAATCTCACAATTGAGTTTTTAATCTCACAGTCACCACCAAATTGTCAAACCCGAACTACACTTCTTTATAGTAGTTCAAGAAACATGCAGGTTATAGTATGAAGACTATCCCTTAAACCATCTAGCAGACAAATTTGCCTGCTAAAATCTTTCTTTTTTTGATTTTGTATGATTGTGCTTGATTATTCTAAGCAATAGTACTCTCTTTTCTAAGTTAGAATTAAAGTTCGCTATTTTGCAGATCAACTCATGATTTCATATCATATGATAGTAATATATGATATTGTGATCACGTGATCACTATTAGTAGTACAGCCAATTATCTTTGATCGCTATTAATTAAAAAAAGAAAAAAAAAATCCAAAAAAAATTTATTATGGATAAGTTTCTGAATTTCATATGATGTTATTTCATCAAAGTCTGTACTACTTAGATTTAAATTTTCAGAGCGATCTAGAAGCTTTGACCTAACAAAATACTCATTAATAAAAACAAACTATTTTCTGGGTAATTTGGGTTTACACCTTTCATTTGCTTCACATAATATGTGCAAAGATGTAATAGTTGTACAATCACATGATCTGGGTTCCCGTGAGTTACTCTAGCCAATTTCAGTTTATCTTCCAATAAAAAATTTTACTTAAGGTTTATCTTTTTACCAATTATTTTAGTGGGCAAATATGCTTGCTAAACTCAGACAGTTTAAGGGATAGTCTTATGACTTGGCAGAGAGTAATAGCATCGATATATATAACTTAACAAAGAGGTTTTATTAGGGTATTATCAAAAAGGCAAAATGACTAATGTCTGTGAATATCTGCAGATATCCATTAGGTTATCCTTTAAAAATTAACAGATAAGGGTTCTTACCTGTGAGACATTTATAGCATCTGAATATGTGGTTAACGGGTTCAAACTCTAGTCAGTCAATTTTAAAAAACTTGACTTAAAGTATTCTCAAGCATCCACTTAGATGCAATTTCATAGTGATCGAAATAGTGCACAAGTATTATGACATAATTTTAGCTATTCTCATAACATTTTAAATAAAAATAATAATGTGAATGGCAATATTATTGAGATATGCTCAAGTGTTACTATGGTTGTTCTCAAGCGTCGATCTCAATATAATTAGCAAGTGATCATAATAGTGCTCAAGCATAATTATATTTACAAAAAAATTTTGCTGAAAATTTGAATACACAATTTATGACGTAATTGAAATCTTCTCAAGCATCAATTTCAATGTGATTAGTGAATGATCATACTAGTGCTTATTTATTACAATCAATCAAAATAATTATTGAAGTCAATACTTGAGCAGTCTCAGAATAGTTAAATTTGTTGCCATTTGAGCAAAAGCTAAAAGATGGTAAGTATTTGATATTGTTTTTTGGTATTCTCGATTTTCTTTATTTTCTATAAAAACTTTTAATGTGAGAAGTAAAATAATAATTTGTTGCTGTTAAAAATGATGATCTATATCAAAGTTGCTTGAGCGATCTCTTTGAATAGTCTATTGTTCATAAAATTTTAAAGGCAGATATAAAAAAAAGGTGGTTTGTTGTAAAAAGTTTGTTGATTGAAATGAAAATTTTATTTAATGTCTTTTACAAATAAAAAATAGTTTATTATGTAATAAACTTTATTAATTTACACATTATTCATTGTAATGATAAATATGCTTAATTAATTTTAAATATTTTCTGCTAAGTAAAGTTTATTCCCTAACATTTTTTGACTCATTGATTGAGGCGCTTAAGAGCGACTTTATTACTGTGATTTGCTAATAATTGTAGTAATGCTTAATGGCTATGATTGTTCAAAATAAAGATCTCAATCACCACTTGAGTAGATTTAGGGTGCTCTCAAATATCTAAATCAATAGGTCTGAGTTCAATTTTTAATTAGTAAAAAATAAATTATTTGGTCAAGCGAGTTCATTACTGCGATAAAAAAAAAAAATAGTCAGAGACCATCTTTTTTTATTATAGAGTTGTGCTGATTGGCTAAAATTTAATATCCATATTTCGCAATGTGAATTTTCGATAAAATTGCTGTAAAGTTTACTTTAATTAATCGTAGTACTTGTGTATGATCTCTGTAGATAGCTAATTACACTGAGAGAGATGCTTGAGAGCACCCTTAAACACAAAACATAATAATAGCAATACGTTAGTAATAAAAAATATGAAAAGGCTTGAACAATAATTATATTTACTTTAATAGTTATAAAGTTTAATAAGTTAGTGCAAAAAAAAAAGGTGATTTGGGGAAGTTTTTTAATTTAATAATAACCTCACTGATTATTTTTTACTATTTAAATTTTTCTTTGATTTAAATAAACAACATGAATAACAAGCACATTTGATTGGTTAAAATATTTTCTGCTAATTAAAATTTATTTCCTGACATATTTTAGTTCATTGATTGAGGCGCTTAAGAACACCCTTAGTCGATTCTTGATTGAGTATATAGGAAGTGTTAAAAAATTTAGAAAAAAAATACTTTATAATAGTAAGTTGGCAGGAGATCATATAAAAGTGATCAACTTCAAATTTAGGTCGACTACAAATACTACTGGCAATGTGATTACCGTATGTTACTAAATAAAAGCTACCAAAATATTGTGAACTTTTTCTGGTCAAAGTGAAGATGTAGCTTCTATTCAGGTCTAATTTTGCTATTAAACGTGAAAACCTTCAAATTTTGGATCCAAAATCAAGGGAATAATTTCTATTCAGAGGTAGCCTTTATTTGATAACATGTGGTAATTGAATTCATTATCACCAATCACATTCATTTAAAATTACGTATTTGAGATTAACTAATTAGAACAGTCAACTTTGACCTCGATTTTTAAATATTAACTTAGTCAAGTTAATAAATTAGAGTCGACTATGTACAAACGTTAATTTATAGGCAATAACCTTCTAATTTCTGGCATATCTTTAAAGTTTTAATACTGAAATTTGGACAAATTTTTATTTCATGATATACAGTACTGTATAAATTATTGATACCTGCATTGGAACCACCAAATTAAAATTTAACTTTATATTTGTTGCAAGTGGGAATAGATTAAGTAGATTTGGAATATCTTAATGTTAAGATTTTAGAATATAGGCTAACTTTCCAAAGTCCATTTTTTTAAAATATCATTTCACCAAGTCATAATATTGACAATCCATTTTACTAACAGAACATAATTAGGTTTGTGTTATTTCACTGACACAATCAATTCATCGAGTTTATTTCACCAACAGCTCATTTTACTGATAAGTTTTTTTTTATAAAAATTACACTAACCTTAACTCTAATTTTAAACCTAACGACAATGACCAGAATTACTTTTCAGTAAAATAAAATAAACTATTAGTGAAATAAACTGTCGAAAATGGGTCTTGTCAGGAAAAAGGGTTATCAGAATTATAGAGTCAGAAAACTAGCATTTCAGAGAAGGTAACTTCAGAAAAGTGTGTAACAATAAGGATTTTAGTGTTAAATTCTACCCTATTAAGAAATTCTTAAATTCTATTTTCACTTACATGTGTTTTTACGTAATCAACAGATTTTATAAGCATATAACTACCATAAATAGGTTATAGTTTATACTTTATTGATGCATTTTTTTTGTTTCGCATATGAAATAATTTTTATAATCAAAATATATATAGTTTGTAACATAAAATATACATAAATATGCATATTAAGATATTTTAAGTAAATATATATGTACAATGAATATATAATGTCTAAAAAAAGAAATTGCTTTAATACTGTATAGCATAATATTTTTAAAGATGATATATAAATATTATATTTACTTAATAAATATTCAAATAGTTTAAATATTTTTATAGATAAAAAATAATTAAGGAATAGTTCATCTCTGAAGGTATAAAAAAAAAGCCAATCTTATAATAAACAAAATCGAAAGTTCATATTTTTTCTATAAAGCAAGAATCTGGCCAGATTATATATTAAAATATTTTTTATTATGTAAACCTTTATTTGGCTTCTAATAAAAATTGTAGAACTAATTTTTCTAATTCTAATGGTGGTAAAATTATTAAAATTGGTTGGATATATCATGAGATATAAGTATTTTTAATTTTTTTACTATAGGTTTTTTCTTAGGATTTGAATTACATGGGATTCTACTTTTATATAAGGCAAATAGTAAAACTGCGCTAATTTTTACTATGAAATTTATATCTTTCAGTTACGGACTACCCCTTAAAAATTTTGTAAGTTATTTATTTGTTAGCCTGCATTTTATTTTGATAAAATTCAATCTCTCTTAATTGAGCAGCAACACATTTATTATATTTACATAAATCACCATGTAAATAGATGATTCTTCCTTGCTTTGATCGATATTTAACTTATATTTTATAATATTTTGTTCACCAATATACTCATGATCTTCACTATCATAATCAGATAAATTATTATTATTTGATTTCATAAAATCACTTCCTAAATAAAAAGATGTTGATAAACTATTACTAGAAGTAAGTTTTGAATAATTTTGTGTCTTTTTGGAGAAATAGAAGTGTTAATTTGAACAGGTTGTGATTGAGATAAATGAGATTCACATCTTGAACATTTATAGACTTGGTCTGAAATATATTGAGAGTTGTTATTAAATCTCAGATTTTGTCTTTCTGGTAATAGGTTTTTGAAACATCTTTCAGTACAAGAAATTAACATTGGTGATATTAGTAATAAAGGACTATTTTTAGTTGAGACAGATATATTTTTTGCTTGGCAGAATAATATGATATCTTTGGTATTTGAATATTCCTAGTCACAACATTTCTTCTAGATTTTAGAAGCAGTCTGCTTGACTTTATATAATCTTCATCATCTGTATCTTCTACATCTTAATAAAGTCAATACATATTGAATTACTGAAATTAATAAAACAAAATTTCTAATCTTAATAAATTAAATTTAATATCTGAGTTTGTCTGTTTGTTTGATTGAGATTCTTTCTTATCAAATTCTTTAATTGTTTGTTTAATCAATTCTTTCAATGATAGCTTTTGATTGAAAACCATTTCAAGGATAATAGATACATGTTGTTTGATTTTATTATTTTCTTTTCTTAATAGCTCTATTTTTTTTTTTTAAGCTTGACATTCTTTATTTTTAATTAAAAAATCTGTTTTCAATTCAAAAACTCTTTTATAAAGTGATTTTACTTTATCATGTAAATTATTAGTCAAATCATGATTATTGATACTATTTTGATTATTTGAGCGAAAAAATTGATTTATTTTGAATGATTTTAATTGATCAATTCTTTGACGTAAATGTTCAATAGTTTTATTTTGTTCTTCTAACTCTTTTATAAATAGGTTTATTGATAATAATTCAGATAATTTTGTTTGATAATCTTGAAATTGATTTGTTTTTTCATTAGCCTCTGCTATATTGAAAAATTATATACAAATATGAACTGTTAAAAATTACTTTTTAAATATAAACTATTAAAAATTACTTTTTAAATATGAACTATTAAAGATTCTTTTTAACAAATTTGGTTTTATACAAAAAAAGTTTTTTTTACAAAGCATATTGGTTTAGCTAGATTTACTAACATTTCACTGATAACTATTTCCTTGACAACCATTTCTCTGACAATTATTTTCCCAACAAAACCATTTCTCTGACAGCCATTTCCCTGACAATACTTTCTCCCACATAACCATTTTTCTGACAACCACTTTCCTGATACAAACCACTTTCTTGATATAGTTATTTCCCTGACAACCATTTCCCTAACATATCTATTTTCCTGACAACTACTTCTTGATATCCATTTCTCTGACATAACCATTTACCTGCCATAACCATTTTCCGACATAACTATTTCCCTGACATAACTATTTCTCTGATATAACTATTTTTCTGCTATAACTATTTCTCTGACATAACTATTTCCCTGACATAATCATTTCCCTGACATAACCATTTTCCCCAACATAACTATTTCCTTGACATAACTATTTCTCTGACATAACCATTTCTCTGAATTGACAATTTCTCTAATATGATTATTTCTCCAACATAATCATTTCCTGATATAGTCATTTCTCTGATATGACCATTTCCCTGACATGACCATTTTCCTAACATAACTATTTTCCTGACATAACTATTTCCCTGACATGTGATATGATCATTTCTCCGAATTACTGTTTTCCTGACATTGTCTACATGGTGGTTTCTTCTCGTATAAATATTGCTTGAAATTATCACATCACAACAATACATTTCAAATTGCACAATCTGATCACTCTAATAACTTTATCACTCAAGGGGGTCTTAAATCGTATAGAACTCTGCAGTTATTTATTTGGTTATAATGAACTTTAATAATCGACACATTTATTAAAAAATGATTATTACATAAACTCAAACAACTATAATTAAATGGCTTAAATATTTCAATGGTTATATACAATAAGCACATGCAACTGATATTTAATGTCTGACTTACTTTGTTTAGTGTGTTGACAGATTATCAGGTATATTGATTATAACCTGTACTTGTATAAGCAGAACAGTGTAAATGTAAATAAAATTTCTAATTATATAATTTTATTTCTTCATTTAAACATTTAGACTATATTTTATTATTAGTCAATATAGTTAAAATAAGCTTAAATAAAATTTCTATTTATATAATTTTATTTTTTTGCTTAAACATTTAGACTATATTTTATTATTAGTCAATATAGTTAAAATAAGCTATCTAAATTAAACTATTAATT